ATGACGGCTATCATCTATACAGAGGTGGGCAATGGAATGGAAAATGCCTTTGTAAAATTGACTTTGTGATTTGATTCAGATGTGAGACCCGTTCTGGCAAAATGAGCCGGAATGCGCACAGGATAATTTTGAGCTACAGGCAAAAAAGTGAAAAATGTTGATTTTAGTCGCTTTTGAGGTTTTCACAAAAATTAGTTAATTAAGCCTTCGTCTAGCGATCTCAAAGCTCCAGATAATAATTTTAGATGTTTAATTACTTTTATTTTTATGTTTTCTGAGAGGAGTAACTTTTCTCATGCTGTTATTTGAAGCACGCAATCCCGATAAATATACACAGAATTACAGTATTTAAGTATTCACGCAAACATAATCTGGTATGTCTTAAATGAACGTTCGGGGAACTGTTGGAGGAAAGCATCTGATGTGTAACATTATATTAGATCTGTGCATTACAGTAGGTCTTAATATATACTGTAGGCCGTCTCATTAATGTTAATCTAACAATAAAAGAAAATAGGGAATCAACTTGCTGTTCGTGATTGAACTGCTTTTGTCGTTTTAATAATTTATTTGTAATGAACATTTGATTATTCGTTTTTCTTACTTGAATGCTTTTGTTTAGATGTAAAATGAAAAAGGTAATGCATTATTTGTTTCTTTCTTATATTTGTTCTGCTGTTGTTTTGCATATTTTCTTATTTATAATAACGAAGATAAAATAAAAAAATAGCTATATTGTGATTATTAATTATAGTAATTATCAAGAAAAGAAGTGGAGGAAAAGATGCAACGTTGCTCTGTGATTTTGCTTTGGAACCTTCAGAAAACTTTAACTCGTTTTTTCTCAAAACTGACTTTACTGACTCTATGGACATAAAACAGGTGTAACTCAGTAATGTTTCATCCGATTCTAACAAATCATACATCATTCTGAAAGTCTTTTAGTGGAGAATGATAATATAATGTTAATATGTTAATATAATGCTCATTATATTATCATTACATTGTGTTCATGATAATGCTTTTTATTTTATTTTATACAGTATATGTAAAACACTATTTTAACTACCTTTAAAAAGTTAAATTTTTTTCATGAAATCTTTATTTCTGTTCTATTGTCAAATCATGC